GCCTGCCTCGCTACCTACTTGTGATCTCTGTCTGTCAAATAAATAAAAAATCTTTAAAAAAAAAAAAAAAAAAGGTGTGTGTCAAGGAAAAAAGACATACTTCACTACGAAGTGGCAAGACTGAAAACCAAGGTAGATTCAGGTACAGAAGTGGTTTAGAAGCCAGAGTTAGGAAGCAGAAGAATTAGAAATTACCTGGAAGGTGTGAACTCAGGGATAAAATCATCAAGGTAATTTTAAGACCTGAGATATTTGTGTTAATGGGCCATAAAATGAGCACTGTATGGTATAAGGATGATAGCATAGTTCAGTAAATGCAGGAAGCCTTAAGTGAACAGGTGCCCAGCGGTTGGCCCAGAAAAACTGCTGACATCTATTTAATTGGAATATATTGAAATCAATATATTGAAACCAATCTCCTTGTGAAATACACTGCTCTGACACTTTCTTGGTCACTTCCTTCTTTCCCTAATATTTTGACAAGGAAAAATCATTTACTACATTTATAGTTGCATAATTTTACACATTTGGCCTTTAATAATGCATTTCATTTATTCTAAGTTGCTTGTATTTTCACATTTTTAACATCTCTATCTTATAACTGGTAGAATCTTAGATTGGGGGAAAGCAATATTGGATGTCAATAGTTTTATAGATTTCCTCTGTATTTACATTAAGATCCAAGTTAAAATTTCTTTTTGAAGTCCTACTTTCCTATATTAACCTGTCATCCTGTCAAGTTAAGTTGCAATTTAAATTGATTAAAAAAAAAAGTGATGGGTCTTAAAATACAATTTGAATCATAGCTTCTAATCATGAACTCAGGAGTATTTCTCTTAGGTTAAAACATTCTTAGAGGTTTTCAAAAAAGTCATTTTGGGATAGAATCACATACAAGATGTGCAATAATTTCATGCCATCTCTAAATCACTGTGTGTGCACACATGCATATGTGCATGTTGGTGGGAGGTGGTAACGCTTTGCTTAATGGTTGGCAGTCTTCCTTTTTCATAGAGCAAATAGGGTAGTACTGTCTATCACAGTTGTCTTAGATTCTTGAGAAAACAGTAATGGACAGTGCGGAAATACTGTGTGTGTGCGCATCTGAGCTTAATATCTAATGGCTTAAGTATCCATTTTATAAAATAGCAATGTAGTTTTTGTCATTAGCAAAAAGTGCAAGAAAATTGTCATAGGCTAGAGACAGAAGACTATTATTTTCTGAAAACCTCATACAAACTGACAACATTTTAGGGTCCTTGTAAGTATAATACATATAATACATACATGTGATAGGCATCTCACCAAAGTGGAAATAATACTGTTAACTATGGGGAAAATAGTTAAATTGTGTAATCAGAAGTGCAAATTAGAGACAGTGAACTTCTTCATTTATATCAGTAGGAATTTTTTCTTTCAGGTATCAGAAGTCAGGGTGGGAGTGAAAACTGGTGAAGTTGATAGCATTACACACTAGTATGCTCCCACCTTTTTAATAAGAAAGCAACTTAGTATTATACATTGAGTCATGACAACTATTTAACCTTATGGTCTAGTCATCCCATTTTGGAGATCTTTCCTAAGGAGATAAAGACAAAATTACTTTTAAAAAACTATGTATATGAAGATTTTCCTCATAAGAATAGAAGTTTGTAAGCAACCTGAACCCTAAGAATAGGAGATTGACTAAAGTATGGGAATAACACCTGATAGGCCATTGTGTATCCATTAAATAGTAAATATATTCGAATGGGGTTGAGATTGCTTGTCAGGAAAAAAGTAGGACATAAATGGTACATTGGAGCTATTTTTTTAAGTGTAAGTAACAAAGTAATGGTTGTGAGTTGATGAGTAATTTTTAAACAAAGTATTTTGGCTCTTGCAAATTTTTGTTCATGATAGGATATTTGTTAAAGGAAGGAGCAAATGACTTTTATCTGTTTGCACCTGTAATGTGATCTTCAGTACTGCTGATTAACCTGGTCTCTTTCATTTACAAGTTAAAATCTAAAAATTAAAAAAAAAAATTGACTTCTATAACCAGAGTTCATGGAGTAAATTGGTTACTACTTGACCCAGGAATTAAATGGCCTGTCTCAGTTCTGCTCTCCTCTGTTGATACATCCTAGAAAGGCTTCCATCGTGCTTAACCCACCCCCCCACCCGTGATGGCAAAGGAAGCCTGGGGCAGCTCCAGACAGTGGCCAAGAATCTACAGCTCTGCCTGTCTTTTTTTTTTTTTCCCCTCTCTCTCTCTTTAAAAAAGTATGTATTTATATATAGAAACAGGATGAGTGGGGGGAGGGGCAAAGGGAGAGGAGAGAGAATCTCAAGCAGACACTGTGCTGAATGGGGAGCCTGAAGCAGAGCTCAGTCTCATGACCCTGAGATCAAGACCTGAGCTGAAATTAGGAGTCAAATGCCTAACCAACTGAGCCACCCAGGCACCCCCTCTGCCTCTCTCAGTGGTTCTTGGGAAGTCCCAGGGCAGCAGTAGCTGGCCCAGCCTAAATGGAGTAGGGGCAGTGCCAATTTCCTTTTTGTCACTTGGGCTCATTTTGCACTTTTTCTGCATATTGATATTTCTTTTATCCAAGGCCTTTTGATTTTTAATATTTAGATCCTCAGTAGCATATCTTGGTTTGGGGAAGTGTGTGTGTGTGTGTGTGTGTGTGTGTGTGTGTGTGAGAGAGAGAGAGAGAGAGAGTTCCCCAGAATTCCCATTGAAAAGTGTTAATTAAACTTCTTTTGTGCCATAGGCATGATACGTAGTATGTTTACTTCTGCAAACATTTCTGCTTATTTTTTAGATTCACATGTAGTATATTCGCTTTTTTTTTGGTAAGTTGGTCATGAACGCTTTCGAAAGCCTTAGGTTAGAGGCAGCCATGAAAGTCTTTGTCACTTTGAGCACAGCTGAATTCATTGATTTTCCAAATAGCTAACATTGTCTTATTTTTCAAATATGTGAAAAAAAAGTTTAATTTTTATGTATGGTTCTTTTACATAAAAATGTTGAATAGAATAGTTTCTCCAAAAGCCGTCAAACAGACTTCAAATTCAGTGAAGGAATTTCCGTGAAGAACAAAGCTATGTTTAGCTATGTAAATTTCTAGTGCTGGCAATACCATTAAAATGGATGGTTCAGATTCCTGTTAAACCAAGAAGTCCGAAATGATGATTGTGAAAGATTCTATTGGAGGAAAAAATGATTCTAGGTAGATAAGATTGTGAAATGCTGAATTAGACATAATTCACTATATGACTGATTATATTTTTTTAAGATTTTATTTATTTGTCAGAGAGAGAGAGCACTGTCAGGCAGAGGCAGAGAGAGAAGCAAGCTCCCCGCTGAGCGAGGACCCTGATGTGGGACAAGACTGACTAGTTTTGTTTTGTTTTTTTAAGATTTTATTTATTTGACAGAGAGCGAGAGATCACAAGTAGGCAGAGAGGCAGGCAGAGAGAGAGGAGGAAGCAGGCCCCCCGCTGAGCAGGAAGCCCAATGCGGGACTCGATCCCAGGACCCTGAGATCATGACCTGAGCCACCCAGGCATCCCAAGACTGATTAGGTTTTAATGGACATTTTTATTCTCTAAGAGCCAGGGAAGCCAGGGATAGTATTTTCTATTAGACTGCCAACACGCCTTTAAGAAACAGAACAATTATTATGTGGTTTGGGGAATACTAGACTTAACCATTACTCTCTCAGGATCTTGGTCCGGTTTCTTACACGATTGGCTAAGTACTTTGGGATGGACCTTGCTGAGGGGTGTCATATGGTGGGTTTTTTTTTTTTTTTTTAAGAGAATTTTGAGTGGTTCTTAACGAATGTGGTTGCAATATGAAAGTCATTTGTTTGATAGAAGTATCAGACTGTCTTGTCAAAAACAGTGAAGTAGCCCAAAAATATATTTCAGAGCTAACAGAGCTTAAAAAGAATAAATATTATATGCAACCAGACAAAAACATATTTCTGCATTTCCTATTTATTCCTCAGACTGCTTTGCTTATCAGACTGTCACTAAACATCTTGAGGAAAAGCAGAGACCATTTTGTTTGGAATCTTAGACACACCAGAGGTGTTTTACTTTTTTTTTAAATGACAATTTTATTATCCCATATAGTGGCAAACCCTCTTTTATGAAAATTCAAGTACCTGCTTTGTATTCTTGTGTAAATAGAGAATTTCCCACCTTGGTACAAGGTGCACTACAATCAGACAGACATACCTTTACATAGGTATAGACAAAATTTTTTACAAGTAGCCCCATGATCTGGTCCAAAAAGTACTCTTATTGAAGCCCCAAATTAATCATGCAGCATGGATGGAGGAAGGAGGAGTTTTGCTTTGGAAATTGAGAGCAAAAGTTAAAAATTACTTGCTATTATGGAAGTGTATCTGTAGAATAGAACATTGAACTTCATACAGTTTTTTAAAAATCTGCCATGATGGATAGTCCCCCATATAAACCACAGCTAACTAAATGAGTTCATTTGTTGAATGGAGTTAGAATTAGCTATTTGATTGTCTAAAGAATATTTGCTTGCCAAAAGCAACTTGTTTGGTTTTGGCATATTTGGTATATTGAGCTGGTATCTGACAGTAATAGCCACAATATAACTTGCTTTTTGAGACTGTTTCTGGAATATGCCAGTAATATCAGCTTAAAGGGTGGTGACGGGATTTTTAATAGTTAAGTAGGAGGGGGAAGGCACAAATAAAATTCCATCCAAAAGTTGCATAGATTATTTAGGTGCAGGTTAAAAAAAAGTTTAAGACACAGCTTGGTTTTATTCCACATATGTGAAGAGATTCTACAATTTTGCGGTTTCCCAGCATAATTTTATATTGTTGCCTTTACTGAAATTGGCTTTTTGTCATTACTAAAAACTCTTCCCAACACTGCTAAGTGATTAAAATTGATGTGTAGCTATTTTTAAAATCATGTATTTTTCTACTCAAATTATCACACCTTTTTCTCTTCTTCTTATACAGAGTTAGCTTTGGAATCAAACCCTTCTGACCATCCAAGGGCAAGCACAATTTTCCTGAGCAAATCTCAAACGGATGGTAAGACAGTGTTTTTCCCCCTCTGAGAAAAAGATTGTTTTTGTTTTGTGTATTATAGAAAGTCTATAAAAGAGCTCGTACATTGGTTTAAATGTTTCACTCTTTCATGTATTCATTTCTTATTATGATATCTGATGATATATTTTCCTTTCGTTGTTACGGATTTAGCTAGCAGAACACGGAGACTCTGTGTACACATTTTGCCACCTCTTTTACCAACTTTTATCAACTTATCACTTGTGACCACATGATTTAGATATTGTCTAATTCTCCATACTGCCTTGTCCTTTAACCCCTGACTCCAAAGAACAACGGTTTTAAAGATGAGTAATAGGATTTAGGCCACAGTTAAGTTTTCATTTAACAAATTAAAAAAAAAAAGAGTTGTTAATTTATGGGGATTAAATCTGTGATTCTGGCCCCATTTTACACCACCCTCAACCAAACAAGCCTATCTCACATCCACATTTATTCTACTCAGAACTTCTGAGCTATTCAAAATTTTCTCATCCTAATGTAGTGGTGTGCCTGGATACATGGGAACAAACATGCCCTGTGGGGTTTTCCTAGAAGGTTAGAGACTGGTATAAATTGCCTGTGTCCTTGATGTATGATGAGAATCAGAACTGTAGAGTTTTAGCACTCCTGCTTGCGTGCTTATTTTCCTTAATGTAATGTTAAATCTTTTTTTATTCGAACTAAGCCATACATGACCAAGTTTTTCAGATGATTATGACAGCAGGAATATAAAAAGTGAGGGCTCCATAATATTTGAAGTATGCAGCACGATAAAAAAATGGGGGGTTTTAACCTGCATTTTCATAGAGTATGTACATAGCCTGACTTAAGCAGATCACTTCTGGTTAGGATTGCTGTATTTCTCTGTTTCTTCCACATGTAGAGACAATGTGTGGAGACAGTAAAAGCAAAGCTTTCGCATGTCTCTTTCTCCTGAGTCATAAGGAATGTGTGCCTATGATGTCACCCCACATTAAAGGAGGCAGTGTGGGAAACAAACAAACAAAAAGTGGGGTCCAAAGCTCATTGGAGCTTTTATTCTTCGTCTAGTCTTTGTTAGAGCAAAGTGATTTTGTGTGCTGTAGATACATTCGGTTAGTTTAGCACACTCATTAAAATATAAATTTAAGATAGATACTTTCCAGTTGTGTAATGGCCCATTTATTTTTTTAGTAAGGTATTCTAGTAGATCACCAATAAGTGCTTTAGGATGCTTCCAGAATACTGATGTATCTAGAAATTAGTGCCTGGCCAGAAACTGATTCTTAGAGCTGTCGGATCCTGGTAATTAAAGTAAGTTGTATATAAATATAGAATTAGAAAATACTATGTAGTGGTTCAGATATTCAACAGGTAAACATTTTTATTAGTTAAATTTTCACCTGGCCTAGTTTGCTTTGACCTTTTCTTTTGTACATGGGGAACCTTTTGTTTGTACCTAACAAAGAAAATCTGTTAGGTCAAAAAGTAAAACTAAGTTTTTAGATTTTACTTTATAGGATTCATCTTGCTAGGTGATTTAAATTATAAATTTTGTTGGAAATTATATTTTTAAAATGGAATTTCACCTCATTTTGTGCATTTTTAATCTGTCAGATGAGTAGCAACTACTTTTACTTTTCTGTGGCATTTGTATCAGAATTGATCAGTGAATTTTTTTTATTCTTAGTGCGAGAAAAGAGGAAGAGCAACCATTTAAACCATGTAAGTAAACAGTTGAAAAGTTAAGTAAGAAATTAATAGTTTGAATTAAAATTATGTATGTCATTATTCCCCAAAAATATAATGGATCCCATACTGTTAGCCCTATAAGGACCTCTTTTTGTAGATTTTCCGAAATCTCTTCTATTTTCCTCGTTAACAAATGTATTCTAGAAAGTCTGTGGCTTAGTAGTGCCCATTTTTTAAGGGTTCTGACAATTAACTTAAATTTCAATAGCATGGTTATGGTATAAAGTTCCGCCTTCATTTTTTAATCTTATTTTTTAACCAAAGTAACAAAAATGTAATAACTAAGTTAATTTTTAGCACTATCAACTTCCTAATGTGCTAGATGAAAGCTTAGCTTCATCACTTCACTGTGGCCTTTTTGCCCTGCCTCTAGTCCCTCAACCTGTATCATGGTTTTTATCAGAATCAATGTGTATGTTGTTATGACTGTGCAAATATTGTTCCCTGCTGAGCCATGTAGTTCTCTGCCTGTGCCTTCTCCTGTATACACCTCATTCTTTGTCTTAAATATTTCTGAAACCTGAGCACTTCTGCACTTCTCCAGGATAATCCAGTCCCCATTTTCCTAGCCAACATGATCTCACACAGCCAAATGCTGTCAGTAGCTCCCTGGTGGGTCTTTCTGCTTTCACATTCTTCCTTTTTTGTGTGGAATTAATTTCCTGACAGTATTCACTTGCTGATTTTCTAATAGCTGATTTCCCCTCCAAGTGTTGTAACAGTTGTCTCATGTCCGTCAGAAATATTTTTCGTTTACTAAAACACATCTGTTCTGTTTTTTCTTGGAGACTGGCTTTTGTTGTTCTATTCCAGTAGAGTAGACTGGTTTTCACTAGGTTGGCTCTGTGTCTGTTTTCCTGGGATATCTCCTTGAAGTCATCTGGGATCTCACATAACTGCTGTCCTGTGTTGGATCCCCTATGTCCTAGATTCTCTGTTTCCCTTTGTCTTGTTACAGGCCCTTGTTCTACTGGAGCACATTTTTCTGGGAATAGGCAGAAGTTTTTAGAGATCTAGCTTCTCTGAAACTCCTGCTGTCTGATAAAGTATAGAATTCTAGGTTGAAATTAATTTTTGCAGTTCTATAGACATTTCTTTATTGTCTTCTCATTTAAAGTGTTGCTCATAAATCTGTTGACATTGTATGATACATTGTACATTACCAATTTTAGTCATTGTTCCCCCATCCCTTCTTTCTCTGAAACCTTCTAGTACCTTCTCTATCCCTGAGATTCTGAAATTTCATAATATGGTTTGATATGGACCTTTTCATTTTGTTGGGGCAAGTAGGTCTGTAGACCATCTCTCTTTCTAATGAGTGTCTTTGTGTGTGTGTGTGTGTGTGTGTGTGTGTGTGTGTGTGTGTTATTCAGATGTTGGACCTCTTGAACCAGTATTCCCGCACAGATCTCTAATTTTTTTCCCTTCTATTTTCCATTTTGTCTTTTTGTCCTACTTCCTGGGGACTTCCTTGACTTTATGCTCTAACCCTTCTCCTTCTATTGAATACTGAGTTTTATCTATCTTATTTTTAATTTACAGAGTTCTCTTATAGTCTCTCATTATTTATAGCATCTGGTTCTTTCATGAGTGCGATTTCTCATCTTAGGGTTTTTAAGAATTTTTGAAGTTTTCATTTGCTGCTTAGTTTTATCATTCCCATCAATTTCTTTTCCCGTTCTGATCTCTCTTACTTGTCAGAGGCTTCTGTCAAATGTGGAGTGGTCCCTGCCTGTGTCTGTGATCTCACTGGAAGTACTATGAGTGAGCAGGACTTGTTCACGGATGGGCCTCACCGTGGGCGTCTGGGGGCTGAGTCTCTGAATTCTGAGCCTGCCTTGGGTTCTGTAAGACAAACTGGCTTTCTTGTTGCTGTTCCAGTCTCTGTGCTTTTCTGTTCTGCCGTGTCAGTTGCCACTCCTTTGGTCTTTTCACCTTTCGAACATTAAAAAGCACCTGCTATTTATCCTGTGTTGTATATATCCTCTGAAAGGAGAGGGAGAGGAAGTAGATTTATGATCAGTCCACCATGTTTTTAACTCAAACTCAGAACGTGTTTTGAAAATATGTATTTAAGTTTAAAGTTTTAATTCAGTATAATTAATGATATTAATTCAGGCAGTATTTTCCAGTTATCCCCGTAATTAGCATATTACACTTTTCTCCTAATGCCTTGATTAAGAATTCAGACCACACACCCTGTCATATTGTCCCATTAATGCACAACATAGATGAAGCAGTTTTCATTAATGCATAGTGTTGGACATTTTTAAGTTGTCTTGTGAAAAAGACAACTTGTGCTGTGAAAATGAGAGACCCACAAGTGAGCTTTAGCAGTAGGCACAATGGGCAGGTCAGTGGCTGGGGCCTGGATTTCAACAGGTACTTGGCCTTTGATGGTAAGGCTTGGATTGTGATTTCCTAGACTTCTAAGTATGATTATTTTTTAGTCTTTGCCACTGAATCCTAAGTCTGTGAAATAACCTTTGTTGTAAAGATTATAAAAGTCCACCTATTCCGTTAGTGCTCAATGAGTGAAAATAAACACTGCCTTTGTCTCTGTCTATTCTAGTAACCAACTGAAATATCTATGAACACTAAACTGCCAATACTGCTGTTTTTTGCTATTTGATTTTTTTTTTTAAGTATTTGCTTTTTATGACCCTATGTTTGTCAGTGTTGTTTATTGAGGCTGTAAGCCAGTGATGGTAAGCCTTTAACCATAAAAGACAATTGTCTTTAAATGTCAGCTAATTTTAAGCTAATAAATAATTATAGCTTGGTATATCCAGGCATTGTTCAGAGGCTTAATTCTGCCACCCTCTAGTTGAATACTAGGTCTTACTGAATACTGAAAAGTAGGCCTGAACTGATGCGGAAGTGTTCAGTGTATCTTTGGTTGGATCTAGCCAGTACACTGTAAGTTGCTGATTCACGAACCCCCCATATGTCTGTAAGACTACATCTAATTAAAATTTTTAAATGTTTCACACTAATATTTTCAAAAGCAAGCCAAAATATATTCATACTAGAAAAAAAATTAATGAGGAAAGTGGGAGCAAATATAACCCAAAGCTTTACCAACTGATCTATATTTTGGTGCATTTTCTTTCTATTCTTTTTATGGCTCCTCAGTATAGGTTTTGGTCAGCATTGACTTTGATTATTATGTAATATACACCATAGTATACCCTACTAGTAGTGGCCTTAAAAGAGAACTTTCTTCCATTTAGAGTAGAAGTATTTAAATGAATTCATTTTCATTTTACATGCTGTATTTATTGAGATTCTTAAAATACGTATTAACTGAATAGCTTTAAAGAACATAACAGTGTTACATATAGTTGAACATTTCTGGCTTGAAGCAGAATTTAGTGATACTTTTCAAAAACAGAAGGTCTAGGACTTTTTGTTAGTAAGAGGTAAATGACTTTGTAGGAAAACATCTGAAACAGGCAAAGTGGTGTTTTTATATACCATGTGGATATTTCTGATTATTGGCTACTGGCAGCTTTTAAATGCTCTGTATTTTAAAAAGTAAACTAGATTTTTTTTCCCCCTGCCCCATTTGTTGTGTATTTGAGGGGGATGCTGACAGGAGAGTGTGACAGCATGGCGAATGCTATTTTATATTGATAAGAGGAAGGAAGGCTCATCTGAATTAGTAAAAAAAAAAAAAAAAAGAAAGAAAGAAAAAGAAAAAAACACAACAAACCAAGATTTAAATTGTTGGCATTCTTTGGTATCGAACGCTGCTATTACTTTTAACTACTTACAGTGACTGGGATTTGTTTATTGGTCTTACTTTAAGGAAGAGAATTGTCCTAACATAGTTTAGGCTATTTCAGTATTTGACTATTGCTCTATACTTGGGCTCAGGCTCTTCACAGATAAATGGATACTTCTAAAGTGTTTTAAAGATGGTTTATTCTATGGAGGGTCTCCAAAAGTTCATTGTCACCTCTCTGACACTACTGCAGATAAATCCTCATTAATTTGTAGTAAGATTTACCTTCCAGTTGTAACTGATTTTAAATAATTTGTCAGTTAATTGAACTCCTACTAATTTGTCCCAGATTCTGTGTTCAGTAGCTGGAGGTAGGAGGAATAAGAGTCCTCCCTTCTCTGAAGAAGCTTACTTTTTTTAGGAGGGGAGGGGACACCCTCAAGCAGTTGGTAGCATGTAACAAGTGGCAGATTAGATGTGTGAGCATACAGAAAAAGTTTTGTGGTGTGACTGCTGGCAAAGATATCCTGGAGGTAGATAGGGTCAAGCTTTCTGGGACGAGGAGAAAGAAAAAGGCATTGTAGGCATAGAAAGTAGCATGAGGGAGGCAGGAAATTGTTGTGATGAATATCAAGTAACTTACAGAATAGAATTAATAAAATTTTTAAATGAATGGAAAGTCCTCTGAGGTTCTCACTTAAGTAATATGATGGCAGTCTTATTTAAACATGAAGTTGAAGTGAAGTTCTCATAAGCTGTTTTATCTGTTTTTTTTGGATGTGAGAGAATATTAATGCAGCACTCTCTTGCCCTCCGGATAAGGAACCTGAGGCCCAGAGACACCTATGGCCCCCTTAGCTTATTAATGATAGAGCAACCCTGGCACAGACAGCCTCTGACTCAAGAACATTTGTTTCATCACACTGTCTCCTGAACTGATACATTTATTATTGGTTTTCATTTTCTGCAATAAAATGTTCTTGCATCAATATTATATAAAGCATTACATTTCATTGTAGTAAATGAATAGTAAAAATAGAAAGTCTCAGCTGCTTTTCATAGCTTAGGAAAAAAAAAAACCACTGAAATCTTACTCTAAGCTTCTTACGTTAATGTACAGGGAATTTATAATACGTGGTTGCCAGGTTTGATAATAGGTAATTTATCAAGGGCTGTAGTTTATAACCCATTCCTGAAATCCCATCTGGGAAGTTAGAGCATCCACTGTGTTTCCCATAGAGCTGCACAGGATAGCACACTCAAGCAGTTCGTGAAGTATAAGAAAAATCTTAATGCTTTATCGTTTGACATTTTAACCGAGGAAAAAACCACACTTTTATAGGTTTAACTTACTGTGACATTTTCTTCTATTTCCCTTCCCCTTCAGGTATCTCCAGGGCAGCTCACTAAAAAGTATAGCTCATGCTCAACAATATTTCTAGATGACAGCACAGTCAGCCAACCTAATCTTAGAACCACAATAAAATGGTGAGTACAACTAGGTTGCCAAGGGCTGAGTGACAGACGCCCCCCTCATGCTAAAAGCATCCTAGCCATACTTGATCTGATTTAAGTCATTTGATTGTCCTTTTCAGTAATCAGGTTAAGAAACTGGTGTCTATTTTATATTGCTTTCCAGGACCTCAGTCTGAATATCAGTTTCCATTTTAATCTTAGAGTGCATGGTAAAGGGAAAGCCAGTTAGCAAATAAAAAAATCCCAGGAAAAGTATACCTCTTAATTAATACATTTCCGTTGTTAAGAATTGTTAAACATAATGAGGAGATGGAGAGGCGCTTTTTATTGGATGTTTCTAGAAGTATTTATGAGTTACAGGCCTTAAACAATGTATACTACTTGGAAGCTACTCTTGAAAGAAGGAACAGTTTGTCCCCTACTGGCACCAGAGTGTATCTGCATTTAAATTTAATTGAATTTTTGTCAGATTTTCCCCATGATTCATTTTTTTCCTCCCTCTGCACTACTGCTGTAAGAAAATTAACTTCTCCTTCCTATCTCCCAAAGAGGGGGAAAATATACCAAGTCAATCTTGAACAAATTCTCAAGCTTAATTTCTTTATGGATGAAATTTTTCCTCAACTGAAAATTATAATTTAATAAGTATACTTAATTTTAACTTTACATATGTGTATCAATATACAAATATATCTCTAGGACATTATATCAGTCCATATATAAGAAAACCGCAGCAGAGAACAATGAAAGAGATGGTTTTGGAAACATAGCTGTGGTCAGGTTTATACTTCAACAAACATGAACAGTGTTATGATGATGGAAACTATTCCTTAATTTCCAGGAGCACCTTATAATCCACAATTAGGGTTGCACTTTTAGAACACCCCAAGATGAATCTTTCAAGCTTGTTTAAGGGAGAGGATAAGCCCAAAACTGGCTATGCAGAGCTTCCTGACTTCATCGAAATTGGCCAAAGAACATTATTAACATCTCTTTGGGACATGAGTGTTGATTTTCCAGAACACAGTTTAGAACACTACTTCAAAATACTAATATTCTCCTCTTGAATTTTATTTTTCAGTCTTAAGAACAACTGGCTTATAAACTTAATTTTGTTTCTTATGTACCAGCTTTGTCAGCTAATTAAACTATGGGTAACTTCTACTTTAATTATAAACAGCAAGTTTACAGTCATTATAATGTAACTTTTCTTTCACTCTTATAACAGCAGAGATCAAATTTGTATTTCAGCAAAAACTGAGTGCCAAAAGTCTAAAGTCCTGAGCTTTGGCACCTAACAAGTAATCACTAAATATTTTTATTCAGCCAAGACACTAAATCCATGTGTAAAAAACAAAACAAAACTCTACTTTGGCTAGAGTCCCCAGTCTAATATTTTAGTACATAATTCAAAAGTGGTTTTAAAGATTAACCTTGCTCAGACAAGTAGGTTTCATGCTTGTTTTTCCCTACTTGGCCTAATTTGTAGAAGTACAGTAAATTTAATTTGCTTTCATTAAGTTTTAAAAATAATTCAGTGCATTTATTGATGAAATAAATGTTTACTGAGAAAATAATAGGGCAAATTGGTTTTTAGGAATGATTTTGAAAAATGTTTACATTGGGGTAGTGCATTGTTCTCAGTGGGGGGGAGCCATATTAGAATCACTTGTGCAACTTTTTTTCAAAAATCTGTTTCAAAATACATGCATTTCCCCCTCCCCTACCACACTCTCACAAGCCTTTTGATAGGCTGAGGAAGGATACGAGGCATAATTGTATGAATGAAAGCTTCCCGAAGGATTCGTTCGTTCCCAGATTTTGTGGCACGTTGCAGTCACCTGGGGAACTTTAAAAGCCAATCTAATGCCCAAGTCATACCCAGTGTCAGTAACATTAGACCATCTGGAGGTAGAAGCCAAGCAGTTTTTAAAAGCTCCTCAGGCAATCCAGTGTGCAGCCAAGATTGGAGAGAACCACTGCCTGGTTAGAGTGTGGGAGAATGAGAACCGCTTCTGACCAACTGTGGGACCTTGCGCAAGTCAATTTTAAGCCTTGGTTCCTTGTGTGTTAGATGGGTTGTTTAATTAAATGCTAAGGCTTCATGGTCCTTTTCAGCATAGAACTTTGAATTCTGTGATTTTAAAATCAAATTGAAGATGAAACTGTTTGAAGCACTATAGAAGTATCCATCTTTGATTCTAATAGCATGTTAAGCCTTTTTACAAGTGCTCGTATTCTATAGACCTAATTCTAAAATTCAGATTTGCCTTCCCTCAATTGTTTTGAGCTTCATTTTAGACATTTTGAGGGCAAAGGGAAGCATATAACTTAACTAAGAGAACCCCTTTGTTGCCTGTACAAAACATCTGTGAATAACTTAGGAATATAGTAACTTAAAGAGTGTCTGAGGACTTATATCTATCTGTTCATTAATATTTAATTTGGAAATACCTGTCATTAAATATTTTATTTTATAATATTATGCTGCATTGTTAGCACTGCTTATTTCGGGGTAACTAGACCTATTGTTGATTTCGTCAGTACTTATATTTGCTATTAAATTTTCTAATTATGATTTTAAATTATTTTATTTGGTATGGAACACTTTAATTATCAACTTTTAGGGAAACAATGAAAAGTGGGTGGGTTTGGTGGATAGAAAACTAAATCAATCAAAATGTAGGGTCTAACTTTTTTTTTTAATACAAAAATTATCTTATGACTTAAATTTAAGCATGTGTACAAACAGATAGAACTTGTATAGGAGGAGGAAATATTCTGTGGGTAGAGGGTCAAATGACAGGGAAAATGTGTAATAATTTATATATTATAATTATGGACCAAAACAGGTTTTCTAACAGTTGGTCCTCCTTTTTGCCAAGAGCCAAAGGACTAAAACAAGGGGGAAAGTGCCCATATGAACTGTTGTGAATTAGAGGATTTCAGGGCCCCTGGGCCCCTGGAAGGATCCTGTCTCCCTCCCAACCCCTTTTTAAAAAATGACTTAATGCCTAACGTGATAAAATCAATTGTTACAATTTTCTTTTTCCTTCCACAGTGTGACCTTAGCAATATATTACCACATAAAGAACAGGTGAGCTCTTTTAAAACCTGTCTTGTTATTCCAGCTCCTTAAATTGCAAAATATCAAGTTTAGTGTTAGGTAACGAGTATAAATATTATTAGAATAAACTTGTAGAGTGCTTTTATTACACTATTGAAGACCCAAGGAGTATTTGTTCCTGTGGATTATATTAATATTTACTGTATTAGATATAAAATTTGAGAATTTAAAAATTAAATACACTGTGTATCAAAACAGGGTTTTTATGGCACTGTTGAAGTTTTGAGCGAGATAATTCTTTGTTGTGGAGTGTTGTCCTGTGCGTGATAGATGTTTAGCAGTCTGCCTGGTCTCTACTCACCAGATGCCGGTAGCACATCTCTCTCCCTCCACGTTGTGTCCCCAGACATGGCCAGGTGTCCCCTGGGGAACAAAGTCACCCTGGATTGGGAACCCCAGTGTTAACATAAATCATTTTTTTTTTTTATTAAAAAGTAACTTTTCCACAACAACAAAGTTGAGTGAAAAGTATGTCATCAATTTACAGTTTTACAAATCTCTTTACTTTCTGGCTTAATAGAAGACAGCTCATTCTCATAGCCGTCTTCCGTGGTTTGTTTTGAAGAAACAATATGAAGACCCAGCCTTGTTTAGATACAGAGTTGGGAAAAGGTGCACTTTTAAAACCTTCAGATATTGTGGATATGCTATGATACTTTACTAAAAGTCCACAAGTGCCAGTTTCTTAGGTTATAATGGAAATATATATATAATGGAATTTTAAATCGTATCAGTGAACTTATACTCTGTTAATATCTTGCACACTGAATGGATCTTTTACCTGTATGTAGTTTTAGAATATTATGCATTGGTCAGCTGGAAAGTACTAGTACACATTTCTTTATACAGTGTCAAAAACTCACTTCTGTTAGTATCACCACCTGTCTTATCAGAAAAGCCTTTAAGTATTGAGAAGCTATCAAGCTTACAGTAGATGAAGCTCATAGTAAAAGGTATAAGTTTTCCCAAAATCCTGATTTTTTTTTTTTTTTTTTTTAGCTTGATAGCCTGAATTTTATCACTGGCAACAAATACTTTATTTTTCTTGACGTTTCAGGCTCACTTTGTTCATTTCCTTTTTTTTTAAGATTTTGTTTATTTATTTGAGAGAGAGAGAGAGCAGGAGCACAGGAGCAGGGGCAGGAGGAGGGGGAGAGAGAGCTCCTGCTGAGCAGGGAGCCCAATGCAGGGCTCAAGCCCAGGACCCTAATCATGACTTGACTTAACTGATTGAGCCACTCAGTTGCCCCACTTTGTTCTTTTTTTTTTTTTTTTTTTTTTTAATTTTTAGATTTAATTTTAAGTAAACTTTGTATCCAACATGAGGCTTGAACTCAAAGCCCTAAGATCAAGAGTTCCATGCTCTACTGATAGAGTCAGCCAGGTGCCTCTCACTTTGTTCATTTTTAAGTAGTACCTTAAAATGGGGCGCCTGGGTGACTCGGTCATTAAGCATCTGCCTTCAGCTCAGGTCATGATCTCAGGGTCCTGGGATCGAGTCCCTCATCGGGCTCCCTGCTTTGCGAGAAGCCTGCTTGTCCCTCCCCTACTCCTCCTGCTCAAGTTCTCTCTCTTGCCGTGTCAAATAAATAAATAAAATCTTAAAAAAAAGAAGAGCTCTGTGGAAAAAGTGGCTTGTTCGGTTCACAACGAAGTCACAGGTTCTTTTCTTTCCTTAACTGTCTTGCAGCATGTAGAAGTGTTTCATAAAGATTTTCTAATTTTTCAGAATATTAGAAGGATCAAGGTTTAATAACACTGTTAAATCTTACTGCTTTATCAAGGATGTTCTTAAGTAGAACAGAATTTTTTCAACTGCAAGCGGCAGGGAGTACTGGTGCGGCTGGGTACCACTACCTTGGTTTATGTGCAAAAACAAGCAGTTTTATTCCCTTTTATTTTGTCTGCAGTCACTGCAGATGTCAAAGGTGTATGAGCAAGTAAGGTCTTTAGTATTCCTATAAAAACAGTTTTGACTTCATGAGCCTCTGAAAAGGGGAGCCGCACACCTGGAGAACCACTGTCTAAATGGGCAAAGTGTATTACTGGAGTGACCTTTTATGTGAAAAGACTGGTCTCTCTTAAAATTTAAGAAAAAAATTACATTTTTAACTCCACCAAACTATTTAAGAGCGACTAGAAGAAATACATGGTAATATATAATATAGAGAGCTACAGAGAGAAAAAAAAACAGGGAAAAAACATGGATTTCATATTCACGTTTATTAAATTCTAAAGACTTTTTGCCCACCACTACTGGTTTATAAAATGTTCTTATGTACTCCAGTGTGCAGTTAGAGGAGTGAAAATATATTTGGTTTGCTAGCATTGCCTGTGAGGGAAAGTCAGTGTTCTGAAAGGCACCTCTGGCTTGGCTGGTCGTGGTAGAAGAGATTTCATAGAGGTCAGGAAACCCTCTGAAGGCCAGAATGCAAAAGAATTTGTAAAATTGTTTGCTTTTGTTGAAGGTTAAGCTTCTTCCACTCCCCTCTCTAATCCCAGCAGGTACTTTACAAAGATATTAATTCCTATATTAATTTTTAAAACGCATGTTCTTATTTTATAGAGATGCAAATAGATCCTTGGATATTTTTGATGAGAGATCACATCCACTCACAGTAAGTGTCAGTTTTATTGAAGTTGTATTTTTCTCTCATGCAGTTGCATTTATTTCATACTGATTTGATTTGAAATTAATTACCAGGAGAAAATTACTCCCTCCAGCTTAAAGTCAAAATCATCTTTTTTTTTTTTTAAAGGTTTTATTTATTTATTTGACAGATAGAGATCACAAGTAGGCAGAGAGGCAGGCGGGATAGGGGGTGGGAAGCAGGCTTCCTGCTGAGCAGAGAACCTATGCGGGGGCTTGATCCCAGGACCCTGAGATCATGACATGAGCCAAAGGCAGAGGCTTAACCCACTGAGCAACCCAGGCGCCCTTGAAGTCAAAATCATCTTAAGTCTTCTTCCCTACCCCATGTTGTGTCTAATCATTTTACCAAAGGAATGATGTATTAGGGATATACGAGAGCAAGAACTGAGCTGCAGCTTTGTAGAATTAGCTAAAGTGAGTAAATGTACCCAGACAACAGAAAATGTATCTTTTTAAAAGATAATTTTCAGTAACTGCGAACAGATTAAGTATTTGCAAATAAACCTAACAAATATGTTGTGATCTCTCTGAAGAAAATTAGAAAATGATTTAAATGTTAAATCCTTTAAAATAACAGGGAGCCTGGGTGGCTCAGTGGGTTAAAGCCTCTTCCTTCAGCTCAGGTCATGATCTCAGGGTTCTGGGATCAAGCCCTGCATTGGGGGCTCTGCTCAGTGGGGAGCCTGCTTCCCCCTCTCTCTCTGCCTGCCTCTCTGCCTACTTGTGATCCCTGTCAAATAAAATCTTAAAAAAAAAAGAAAACTGTTCTTTAAACTTTTTTTTTTTTTTTTTTTTTTGAAAGACAGAGATCACAGGTAGGTAGAGAGGCAGCCAGAGAGAGAGGAAGGGAAGTAGGCTCCCTGCCAAGCAGAGAGCCCGATGCGGGGCTCGATCCCAGGACCCTGGGATCATGACCTGAGCTGAAGGCAGAGGCTTTAACCCACTGAGCCACCCAGGCGCCCCTGTTCTTTAAACTTTTTAAGATTTTATTTATTTGACAGAGAAAGCACACAAGCAGGGGGAGCTGTCGGCAGAGGGATAAGCAGGCTCCTCGCTGAGCAGGTAGCTCGACATGGGACTCAATCCCAGGACCTTGGGATCATGACCTGAGTCAAAGGCAGACGCCCAACCAACTGAGCTACTCACACATCCCTAAAATAACAATTTTAACTTCCTTAGTTAATGACAGTTTACTCCCTCAGGTGCTCTAACCACGTGTGGCTGGTGACTATTACATAGGTCACACTTAAAAGTCTTACGGTTACAGGGAACAAACTTTTTCTTTCATTTTTTTAAAGATGATTTTATCAGAGAGAGAGTGCACATGCCTACGCGTGCAGATAGGCAAGCAGGGGGAAGGAGAGAGAGAGAATCTCCCCCAGAGTCCCTGCTGAGTATAGAACCCCATGAAGGGCTCAGTCTCCCCACCCTGAGATCATAACCTGACTGAAAACAAGAGTTGGATGCTTAACTGACTGAGCCACTTGGGCAGCCCAAAATTGTTTTTTCAAAGCTGATTGCAGAGAATTATAACATGTGATCAACCAGACTCTTGAGCCTAAAAATAGTTTTACATATAGATAGAAAGGAATATATATATACGTTTTCTGAGGTCATGCCTATATTTTTCTTTAACGAATGTGGTGATACGTATTGAATCACTATAGTATTTTAAGATCCCATTGTTTATATCTAAACCACTAAAAGACATGTCACCCAATCAAAATCATTTTGGGAGCATGGGCCCAAATGTAAAGACTGCAGTATTATGGGCATTTAAGTACTTCTCCTCTGTGGATACTTAAACTGCATTTTTTTCCTTCTTTCAGAGAGAAAAGGTTCCAGAGGAATACTTTAAGCATGATCCTGAACACAAATTTATTTACAGATTTGTTCGTACTCTTTTCAGTGCCGCACAGCTAACAGCCGAGTGTGCAATAGTAACTTTGGTAAGATAGCTCTTCTTTCTTACATCCTCGTTCTTCAATTTCAATCTTACGGCACAGGGTGTGGTCCTGCTTTTCACATAAAAATAGGTTCCTGAAATGATCATCAGAAGTTTATTAAAAGAAACTTATTGAAAGTAAAGTACACACATTCAAACTTAGTATCATTATTTTTCAAAACATTGCTGTTGCTTTTCTCATCACAGAAGAATGGCTGTTAAAGGCAGCAGGAGAGATTTCTGGTTTCTCCTTCCACACCTCTCAGTACACAGATGTACACTCAGTGCACACATGTGCACACTCAGGTGGTGTGCTGGGGGACCACAGGCAGTAACAGAACCGTCTGGTCCACAGGCAGAGACTCATTTGGTGTAGATCTAAGCTGAGGCCCAGATTATTTCGGTATTCCCCACACAATCCTCATGTGTGTCTTGATTGAGAACTGTTGCCCTAAATTCTCTCTTCCTTGGGTGATGGGTGTTCATCCATCCCTGGTGTCCTTTTGAGCCTGCCTGTGATGTTGCCCAGGATTATAGCGCCAGAAGTACTTCTAAGGACCTTTGTGTTATCCATACAGAATTCCTGTGGTAAGATTTTATCATTTGAAAAATAAATTCTATTTAAGTGAGAGACAGCTGGGGTTATTTTCACTCCTCCATACAGCAGACCTATAGGGGAAAGTTAACTATCTGGAGGGAAAGTTAACTGTCTGGAGGGAAAGAATACTTAGGTCAGTGCCTGTATTCCTTTAGTATCCAGTTAGAATTCAGGAGAGGAGGCTTCTGTTTTTGAGTAGAGACCCCTCAGTGGGCACTCAGGCCATTTCTTTGCTCTACAGACCATTCAGAGTGGTTAATCCAGGCTGGAGAGAGGCAGAGTGGTTCTCCCACATGGGGAGCAAGACGATGCCAGAAGGAGAGCATCTGGGTTGGAGTTGGGGAGTTCTTTGTAGACAGGTTAAACGTGACATGCCCGTGAGACAGCAGAGTGACACTGCCTAGTGATCAGTTGAATATATGAAACAGAGCATGAATCCGAGCTAGGCGTAGGGAAGAGTAGTAGCTGTTCAAATGCAGAGAAAAGTAGAGAATAAAAAGTAGATAGAAGCTAGATCTGTAAGGACTACTAGCATTTAAGGGACACATCCTCAGAAGAGTGGCTAGAGAGTGGTAGGACCCCGGAGGGAATAAGAAATGCCAAGATAGGAGAGGTTCAAGGAGAGTGGGGTCGGAAGGCCAAATGCTGCCAACCAGTTGCCCATCGCGTACCCACTGAATACCAAGTCTGTGTCACTAAGCATTGGGGACAGAGGAGAAAACAGATGGAATACAGTTCTTCCCTTTGTCTAGCTTATATTCCAGCAAGGAAGAAATAAGTTGTTCTTTTCATTTGCTTTTTCAAAAGAGTGTTACCTAAATGTTTCAGGTAGTGGTATATACCAGGAAGAGAAAGCAGCATAGCATGAAGGAGTAAAGTGATCGGAGGGGCTCTCCATTGTAGATAGCATGATCAGGACGAGCCTCTTGAAAGAGGTAGCACCTGTTCCATGAGGAAGATGATGAACTCTGGCATTACAGGCGGAGGGGCCAGATGCGAGACTCTTGAGACGGGAGCACGTTTTGTGTATTTAAGGAAGAGTGAGGTGGCCAGTGTCAGAGGAAGAATGAGGGGAACAACATGCGAGATGAGGTCACAGCAAGGCAATGCGGTATCTTCTGGGGCCTTGTAGCTAGCAGACCGGGAAGAATGGAAACTGTCATGGTTTGATGGAAAGCTCTGGTAGGTCTTGAGCAGGAGTATGAAGTGCTCTTCATTGAAGAGGCTGTCCTTGCTGCTTTGGGGACGGTGGACTGTAGGCGGGAGTCAGCGTGGAGGCGGAGAGTTAAGGAGGCAGTGACGGTGATATAGCTGAGAAGTGACAAATAGAAATTGGTCAAATCACCAGTGAAGATAGAAATAACAAAAACTGCTGGCGGATTGGAACAGGATTAAGTCAAATGGAGGCCCCAGCAACAAGGCCAGTAGTATTGCCCTTTAGGTTACTAGGAAAGGCCTGGGGAGTGCAAAGTTGGGCTGAAGGCACAGAGGACCTCACGAGTGACAGCTGCAGAGGGCAGACTCTCACAGGTGAGGAAGCTGGTGGGAGGTGAGAAGCCAGCATGAGGCATTTTGTGTGAGCAGAATGAGAGGAAGTGGGGTGGGAGGATGGGGGCAGTGGGCAGTGTAAATCTGTTCGTATTGGGGGAAATCCCTCGTAGAGAGGGAAGAAAATTCTTCGAAAAGAAATTGTGTAAACAGTTTTGCACAAGTGGGATGGGATCATCCAAGAGTTACTTAAGTGAGAAAAAGAAAATCTCATTCCCACAGACACAGGAGAGCTGGTGGTATCATTGAAGCGGGGCAAATTCACAAGTTTCCCAGTACAGAGGGTAGATGGGAAGTTGAGAGATTGCCGGTGTTGTATAAGTGCCTCTAATTATTCCCATAAAGTAGAGTTGAACCTTCTAGGTTCAACTTGTTCATTCTTAGGACACCTGAGAGAGCTGCATTTGGGGGAATGGGAGCAGAATTTCACTAAGGACATAAAATGTTCAAGAACCATTTGTTTTTAAAAACAGTTGAGTTTGGAAAATATTGGCAAATCTGAGCTGGCAATCAGACAGCCTTCAGACAATAAACACACTCTAAAATTGGATTTTTCTTGTCAAATGGCATATATACTCTTCTGCAGAGAACTCTTTGAAGTAACAACAAATTATCGCTTACCTCTGTAGTCTTTACTCAGCTGTTAACTCTGGCCAGGGCTGGTGGAGCAGACATTTGATACTGTAAGGGAGATCCGTCCGGGAGTCCCCTCACAGCGGGTTCAGAGGAGTCCCAGGGTGCAGAACCTGGGGCTCTGTTAGCACTTTAAAACCAACAGAATTGACTAAGCTGCAGTAACAAACAAATTATCGTGAAATGATGATAATGGAGATGTGAAAATGAGGGGATAGGAGAAGGACTATCCTTTGTATGAGTGTATGTTCCTTTAAAAGACACTTAACTATGAGGGGGACTGCTTGACAGCACACCTGTTTGTACTTGCCGTCCTGCTGCACCACACAGCGGCCACTGGGGGGCTCTCTTGCCCACCAGTTTCTGTCCTCAGGCTTCTGCCACAAAAGGATTACTTTGAAAAGGGGAAGGCAAAAATGTGCTTTGTATTATCCAGAGTTTTACATATTCAAGTATTATGTAAAATGACCATGTAATGAGCAGCCAGCTGTGGTACCTTGCACAGGGTAGGCACTCAAGGGCTTATTGAACAACTCGAATCTGCAATCAGTTGTATTGAATCAGTTCCCTTTATGAATGGGAAGGTTAATAACCCAATGCCTGCCTTCAAGATGCCCTTTGCTGAGATGTCCATTCATTCCTGTGACAAAGGCTGGAAATTCACATGGGCAGAGTAGGCAACAGAAGTATCTGACCTACAACAGTGACCTGGCCTCTGGCTTTGGCTGGCGGGGCCAAGTCTTTGTAGACCTTTGTAGGAATAAAAGGCATGTCAAAAACAGATGAAATCTGTCATTCCTAACAGTTCTTATCACAGCACTTTAAACTGAACTAAAATCAAAGACCAGTGCTCTACTTTTGCAGGTTTACTTAGAAAGGCTTTTAACTTATGCTGAGATCGACATTTGTCCCACTAACTGGAAAAGAATTGTTTTGGGAGCCATTCTTCTTGCCTCCAAGGTTTGGGACGATCAGGCTGTATGGAATGTGGACTACTGCCAGATCCTCAAGGACATTACAGTTGAGGACATGTGAGTTTATAAGGTTTTGGTGAACTTTCTAACCATTTTCCAGTACCTCCATTGCTCTGGTAAAGTGTATATTTTAAGAAATATTTTTAAAGGTTACATTGTGCAAAGAACTGAAATAGGCATAAAATTACAGACTTCCTGTCTAGCTACGATATAACAATTCATATTTCCCATCATTGATTGGTAGGTCTTGATGTGTTGTTTTAATAATCTGCTTGGTAAATTGATGTATATGTATTCCTTTTTTGTTGTTAAATATTTTATTTATTTGACAGATCACAAGCAGTTTGAGAGGCAGGCAGAAAGAGGGGGGAAGTAGGCACCCTGCTGAGCAGAGAGCCTGATGCGGGGCTCAATCCCAGGACCCTGAGATCACAACCTGAGCCAAAGGCAGAGGCTTAACCCAGTGAGCCACCCAGGCGGCCCTGAAGTATATATTTCTGCTGGGTTTTGGCATACATTTTACTGGCTTACGCTCAACACAGTATTGTAAATATCTTCATGGCTTTCTTAAACCTGTCTACAATTTGAGTCGATTTTAAAGAGGCCTATGGCCGACTTTTAAAATGTTTTGGCCACTGTTAAGGTCTTAGGTCCTCTAGACCATTGAGAGGTTATACCTTCAATCTGAGTCAGCTTTTGCCAGTCATTCTCTCCTTATCTGAAGTTCTGTTGTTACAGAAACCGTGGTACAAAAGTAGCCACGCGTATGAAGGTTTCCGATCCCAGTGTTCCTGCTTCCTCCCATACTAGGAGTATCGCACCTGTTTAAAAATAGGTCTGAGGAGTTAGGAAGCTCCTGTTTCTCAGGCGGTCCCGAAAAGCAGCACTGGGACATCACCAGTGCCCGTCGTATTCGAGAGTCTCCCGAGGCACTCAGCCACCACAGCAGCGCTTTGTGGGGCCTTCCATCCACCATGAGGGGGCTCCTTGCTGGTGGCGTGAAACACCAGACTTAACAAGGGCTTTTGATCTGGCCACCCTGGCTTCCGGGAAGGGCCCTGAGGGTGCAGAGTGCCCATCTGAGAGTGAAAATGTCTTTGTGGGTGGCATTTGGGAAAATGTGGAAGAACACGTCTTGATTATACAGAACAGCGTAGGAAGATTAAGATCATGGCAGGCAGTGGCAGGTTTGTTTTTGTTACCTTTGCCCGTTACTCTAGGTAAGATTGTCATTCAGAATTACCGAAATGCATATTTACAACTGAATTGAGGATACTTGTGACTAGAAGAGCCCAGTGATTGTTGGTGGTTGTCCAAATGCTTTTGATAATAGTGGAAACTGAGTGGGCATGGAGATGTTGCTTGCGGCAACATGGTAGCAAATGGTGTAATGGCAAATAATGGATTTGAAATAAATAAAAGTACTTTTGGAAGTTGCAGAAACTAAAGTGACTTTGATCACCACTGTCATCGGTCTGCAAACTCTGGTGCCTTGAAGGAAAAAAAATTTGTAATCACAGACACTAGCCCTACCATGGTGGCACCTGAAATTTTCTCAAAACCTTCAACGAAGCTGGCTGGGGCTCTGATTCTAGCGAAAACCTCAGAACATGCTGGGAAGTGTGAGCTCGTGAGGATGAGTTTCCAGGAGCAGTGATGGCAGTGTCTGGCTACGGGAAGACCAGTTCCAAGCAATACTTTTTGTGTGTAAACAGGAAGCACTAGGAGCTATGCTGATAATAATAGGCTGCTTTGTTTATGATCTTTGGAAATTGGAAAGCATTACAACAAAGTGTTTAATACACATTTGTTTTGTCCCCCTGCTGTTGACTTCGATTTGTAGTAGTCTCATTTTGAGTCTAAATTGAAGAATTGGTGTCTATCAGGTTTTTCTTCAAACTTTCCAACATCTATGCTTTAGAATATATTCCCCTTCAAAAGAATAAGTTAAATTGAGCAGCTGCTATTCAGAAGATCTGCTGTGCCTGTAAATGGTGTGCTATTCAGCCATTTGGCTATTTAAAAAACAAAAAACCCAGAAGATGCGTATTCTATAGGCATAATGCTTCTCTCCAGTGATTAAACCTTTATTAATAGACTTGTTAATCCTATGAAGTACTGTATTTCCACACAATTAAAATGTATTAGCGGAGAAAGTATAAAAGGGATAGTGAAGTGCATTTATTCCTGTAGTAATTTAAGTCCTGATTAGCTGATTATCAAAACATTATCTGATTTACATTTCTATAGACTTACAGCCATATGAACAGGAAATTAAATTTGGAAGTAGGTTTAATTGGGTTTAAAATTCAACAAATGAGAACTTCATCTCTGCTCATACTCTGAATGCTTTCCCTACCCTACAGGAGAACATCATTTGTTGACCTATCCAACAAATAAAATACTAAAACTTTAAAACCGAGAAACCAAATATGTTATAAAGTAAGCTGCTCATGTTTGTTCGGGTACTTAGCGTTTTTATGGAATTCTCTAAAGGATGACTGTGAAAGTGGTCAATTTGATATTTATTTAATATTGAGCAAGTGAGCCCATATGGTCGTGTGGAGGAGACAAGGACTGCTCCCAGCATTTCCCTTCCTGTTTTACTGAACTCGCCCCCTGCGGGTGTGCTCATTCTGTTCTGGCAAGAGGGTGGCGCCACATCTCGGGGTTGCATTCCCCACATGAGAGAAAGGCTGTTTGAGTCCAGTGTTCTACCAGAGGTCACATCTTGGTGAGTTTAGTCAAGCCAAGCCATCTCTTTGATCGTTCTGCCCTCCAGAGTTTAAAAAAGTGCATCCTGTCCTGTCAGAGTGACAATTTCTTGCTGTAGTAAAATGAAGGTGGATGGAGACGTGCATTTACGTGTGCCCTTTGACATAGCCCTATGCACTGGGGCAGGGGGAGGGGATTCCTTTTTCCATGCAATGTAGCTTATTTATTTATTTATTTATTTGAGATGAATCCTTGTTGCTTCAAGAGTTTTTCCCCCTCAGAGATAATAGCAGTGACTCTCGATGGATCCATTTGTTGCCGTGGTGACATGCCCACTCCTTTTGTTGGCGCGTCTCTACTTCAATAAGCCCCTTCCTGTTACCGGCCCGGTGAAAATGTCTGCAAGTTCTTCAGAGCTAATAAACAGCATACATCATTCCTTTCATCTGATCACTATAGCGGGGCCTTGTGAGCGAGCGTGGAGCATGAATCGTACAGCTGCACTAATGGAACTCTGAAGAATGAGCCCCTGAGTCAGCAGCAGGAGTGCCTAAGAGGGCCGTAACCTCTTCCCCCTTGTCCCAGGCTCCAAGTGCTGGGATGCGAAGGGACCACAAATAGCCGCACCTTGTTTGAACGCTAGTGTACTAACCCACTGCGAGCCTCGGTTTGTTCCAAAACAGAATTCAGAGCCCTCCCCATAGCTCAGGAGGAGATTTTTGAAGATAGCCCAGTTGACTAAAATTGTCTTGTGTTGGTTTTGTTGTCTCCTCCCCCAGGAATGAGATGGAAAGGCATTTTTTGGAGCTACTCCAGTTTAATATTAATGTTCCCGCCAGTGTTTATGCCAAATACTACTTTGACCTTCGCTCCTTAGCAGATGACAACAACTTGAATTTTCTATTTGCTCCTCTTAGCAAAGAAAGAGCACAAAACTTAGAGGTAAGGCTGTGAAATCGTTAGTCGGGGCTTTCTTTCGGCCACTGAAACCAGCATCTGTGGCTAAAGCTCATTAAGCAGTGATTAGCAAAATGGAAAGATTGCAATTAACAAATTGAAGAGTTTATTAACCCTTTGGTGGCATATTTCCTGTGTCTTTTATGATTTATGTAAGAATCTCACATTATTTTTAAAAGGTATGTAGATATTTCCTCTGTGACCATAATTCAGAATATTTCAGTCAAATTTAACCTTTTTTCAAATTTTACATGTTAATGGTTTTCCATTTGAACTTTATCCTTCCATATAATCATACAATTATATATATATATATATATATATATATATATATATAAAATCTCTTATAATTGTTTCTTTAATCATATCTATGTACATAATTTTTTATGATTGTATCCTCAATCATATCTACATACTTGCCATTCTTTTTTTAAGGTTTTCTTTATTTATTGGGGGAGAGACAGACACAGAGCAAGCATGAGGAAGGGGGGTAGCAGAAGGAGAGGGAGAAGCAGACTCCCCACTGAGCAGGAAATTTGACATGGGGGCTCCATCCCAGGACCCTGATCATGACCTGAGTCCAAAGGCAGATGCTTAATTGACTGAGCCACCCAGGTGCCCCTCTACTCACTGTCCTTAACAGTCTTTTACTCAGTTTGCAAATTCATGCCAGTGTTTTTTACAGATGCCACAGTTAAGTCCCATGAGTTCATTAGACAAAGCATCTGTGGCTCACCTGAGACTTAGACTGTATCTGTGTTTCAGTTACTGCCGTAGAGAGCCTGTGGGTTTTTAATCAAAATGGTAAAGGATAGGAGACAAAGGAATTATGGTTTATGACTTATAGTGAGTTTACAGCAAAAGTATTCACAACTGAAATTTCGAGACACTTAAAATGGACACTTCTTGTAGTATCTTGGTGTAGTTCGCAGTCAGGTATTTTCTACCACGGTTAATGTGCAAGTGAAAGAGCACTTTTTGGTGCTTCGGTCATTAGACTTGTGACCTTCCAATAAGGTCCAGACATGCCTGCCCGGTTAGAATCTGCTTAGAGGACATAATAACCAATGAAGACTAGAAGCTGAATGGCTGAGAAACACTGGGTTTTGCCCAGGTTGATGTTCACTGTGTTGACGAACAGGTGGACAGGGAACAGGTGATAATCCTGGTAGGAGCCTACCAAAACACCTTTGACATCTTTGGAACCCAGTTTGTAAATAAGCACATTCTTCCTTGCCCAGTGATCTAATTACAGCCTTTTAAGGATATTACCTTAGTGAAATGTCAGAAAGTGGCATCCCCAGAATCTGGGAATGTAGACCTCCACAATCCCTAGGAGCAGTAACTGTGAACTATGTGAAGGAGTATGGCTGTGTGACTTATCAGTGAGGCTTTTTGGTTTTTTTTCTTTTTTGCCCAAGGTTGGAACGCTTTTTTAAAATTTGTTCTTGTGTTCTCTTTGATTGACTTTCCCAGGCCATTTCCAGATTGTGTGAAGACAAATACAAAGACTTGTGTAGAGCTGCTATGAGAAGGTCTTTCAGCGCTGATAACTTCATTGGTATTCAGCGCTCTAATGCCATCCTCTCTTAAGGGAGAAGGAAGGGGTTGTAACATCATGAACCCCTCAATCTACAGGGACTGGAGAAATACCACCTCTCCTGCTCACAAACCAGCAAAGTTAGTATTTTCATCTAAAAGAAAGACCTCAAATTCAAGAAACTCATGGACCGCAAGGATTATGGTCACAGGAAAGAATGGGACCTTGTTAATGCAACACACTCTTTTGTCCTTTTTAATGTAAACAGAGTTACAAAAACCACTCCAAAGCAAAAGCTCCAACCCACACACGGATATCTGCTTACTATGTAGGCTGATAGCTGTGAACTAAGTGAGGTTTTTTTTTAATAGCTTAAATTTTTAAACTTTAAAGACACTAACTATATAACTTTTATGTTTTTCCTATTTTTCCTGCCCCTTCCCCCCATATTGCTGCATATTTCTTTAGCATCCATGCAGTATTACCAACCATGAAAACATGGGACTCCTCTAACAACTCATAAAGCCACTTAGGAACAGACTGTAGCATTGTGTTAGGTATTGAAGGGTTCTTCCTACTTTATCACCGAAGCTGCTAGTCATTATTGGCAATCAGTTTAAACCAAAAAGCTGCTGGATAACACTTGTCACTCAAAATCTTTGCAAGCACTACTTATTAGCATATTAGTATGTTTAGGGTCATAAACAGAGAAAGTATGTTATCGATGATTATCTACTTCTTTTGGGTCCACGCTGCATTTCTTGTGAACTATAATGCATTTCTTGTGAACTATAATAATGGTGCTTCTCATTTTCTGATGATTTTCCTCTTTATTAAATACCTGTATTAAAAGACATTTTCACAATGCCAACCAACATGGTGGTCCAGTGGTAACAAGCCGGCAGTGAAAAGGTGCCCTGAAAACCTTAGTGCAGCTTTAAGCTTTAACCTAGTGTGCTTGGGCCCTCTGGGGCACAGCTGAAGGATGAATGCTACACACTGATAAAACACCATTTAAAAGTTTAGTTGTCTCTTGTAAACATACCTACTTTTGTAAATTTTAAATATGAAGCTTTTCATTTTAGTGTTTTTGTTTCAGCCCCTCTTGAAGATGGCACACATTGGCTAAAACCAAAAAATTAAAATGAAAAGCTTCGTATTTAAAATTTACAAAACTGGGTGAGTGTACAAGAAATAATTAAACTTTCAAATGGCGTTTTATCACTGTGTAGCATTCATCTTTCCACAGGTATCAAAGCTTAAAATTGCACTAAGCCTGAAGGGGTGCCTTGTATTTTCACAGGTGCGCCCTCCCCCTTTTTAAAATCTTTCTTTGCAGGGCTGTGCTGCTTACCTGCTGTGGTCACCAGAATTTCTTTTTCCTACATTTGTAAAGAGTATGAAGAGCAGTGATAATTCACATGTAACAAACCAAAAGGAACTGGACTCTGATAGTAGTCATCTGAAAGTAGGTGATCTGGAACAGCTCCTCTAGCCTACCTGGTAACCTGGCTGGAGGGGGGCTCATTTCGAGTCCTGCTGTTTAAGAGGACCCCTCACCTCAGGCTTTAAAGGGCAGGGAGTTAAGTAATCAATCTTTTAGGAGATTGGTAATGATGTCACTTAAACTTGAAATGTTAAAAAAAAAAAAAAAAAAAAGGTGTTCTTAACTATGTGAAATCTTTCTCCTACCTTCTCAAATGTAATCCTAGGAATTTTGCCTGTATACATAGCATTTCTGGGCCAGGAATACTTTCTCCATATAGCAAGTCTTCATTATTATATTGAGTGCTGCAGGTTCCATCATTTTTAAAGGACAGACACACAAATGATAACAGTATATAAAATATTACAATCTACCACCTCAAAAAACATTGTTTATGGAGTTCGGAGCTTGGAGATTCAAGTATTGATTGCAGTTTTATTTTGAAAAGAATGCTACAACTTACGTGGTTTTTCTTCCTCATGTTTATATTAAAAGCTAATAAACTCTATTTTAATTAAAATACGGCTAGTGTGTTTGTAACCTTTCAGTTTACATAGCATTACGTCTCTAACTTCAGTGCTTTCCCGTCCGCTCTAATGGTGAGTGGGGTCTTAAAGCAATTTCAAACTGAGCATGATTTGATTTGACCCTTGCCTCTAGTTAAGTGTTGTCCTGTATTTCTTTGGCTTCTGCTCTTTTCAACCTGAAGATCAGTTAGTACACTTAAAATCACTGGCCACGGTACTCAGAGGCATTGCAGCTCATTATTGTGCCAAGACTGGAAGGTTAAATTAGGTAGACTATACCAGAGAGAAGGAATTACAAGAAATAGTGCATAAACAATGTGAGTTATATGAGGATTCTAAGCAGTTAAAACGTAGGAAAGAAAATAGAACTAGATTTGTGGTTGCTGTAAAGTGAAACAACCCACATATTTGGACTTTGAAATACTCTTTTCAAAGTTACATTTCAGTGAGAAATATGGCAGATCTTCGTAAGGTTGAAGACCCTAGCCACCCAGGTTAAGCGAGGCTCTGTAAACCCTGAGTCTTGCTGTATTTTCATCCACCTTAATTCACTACCTAAGGTCAAATCTTCAGCTGATCACTTTGTTCTTGATAAACTGCTGATAAGGTTAAATAATCTGATTTCACTTAGAAAGGCAATCTGTCACAAATCACTTAAGACTGTACCCTTTACCATGCCAACTACTAAGGAGAACTGCTGGCATGAGCGGTCAGAAGCGACAAAGATCTTGGGTGGGAGGCTGGACAGGACTAGCTTCAAGAACAAGTTGCCAGGATAGGTAGAATCACAAATTGTTCTTTCCCTTTTGGCTTTAATTCTAGAAGACAGTACAGCCATCTTGGTAAATGGGAAATTGAGTCAACTTGGGGTAAAAGTAATATACATCCCCAAAAGCTCATAGGTTCTCTGACAAATAATGGGCATGGAAACTGGTCACAAGTAGGGTAGTAACTATGGCAGTTTTCTCAGGGCTTTATACCTAGGAAGAGTTTGTTCCCTAAATAAGACTATAAAAATATACCTCAACTTGTTTATCTTCGGTTTTAGTTTTTTTCCTTATTGGAATACTAACTTCAGTGAAACTTTTAACTGATATATTGTGAGCTGAGTTTTTAAGTATTTACAAGGAAAAGACAAAGGTCTGAAATGTATGTCTGACCCAAATGAAATTGCCATTTTTGTAGGTCAAAAATGGCTGTTCATAAGCAGTTCCACATAGCTCTGCTAAGACATTCGTAAGGCCTAATGCTTCTGGTTAAAGAGAAACTTTCTCCGTGCTAAGATTCCATCTCAACCTTCTTCTTGACATTGACATTTACTCTTAACGTACCCCATGTATGCCCGTATACTATTGAAATCCAATACCACTGAATCTTGGTTTTATAAGAGTTCAGTGTTCATTGCTTGGTTTATTTTTCCTATGTGTATAAATACCCTATTCCCTGAATTCCCTTAAAAAATTCCCTTAAAAGAATGCTGAAGCCAGTATTTATGGGAGAACCATTCACTCTATATAGGCATTATACAATGTTTTTGGATAAGCTGAGCTGCAGCATACAAGTTAGCCAAAATCTTTCATCACCAAGACTTCTCTCTACTCACATGTGAAATGCAAGAGAGCAAACGATCTAGGAGACCTTCAGCAAAGCCAATTCCCGCAGATCACACGTGCAAGCAGCTTGGTTTCAGAGGCAATTTTTCACTACTTTTAAGAACTTGTAATTAATTTGATACAAATTTTAAGAATACCAGTTTGTGGTTGGGGATCTCTAGGGTGCAGAAAGAATTAAGAATGAAATAATATAGAAATGAAGAGGAATCTAACAACAAATGAGAAAAGGTTAACATTCTTTTAAGAAGGAGTAAGGTTTTAATGATTATAACTGCTAGAAAAGGAACTAAATCTGAATGGATTAGAGAAATTCGGTGATTGCCTTAGAACCCAAGGTCCTCAAGAAGATATCGATGGCATCCACTTCAAGACCTCGAATTATTCTGCTAGCTGCTTGTTTTTGGGTGGTTTTTTTAGAGGTGGGGAGAGAATCTTAAACAGGCTCCACACCCAGCCCAGAGCCCAAGGCAGGCGGGGCTTGATCTTGGCACCCTGAGATCATGACCTGAGCCAAAATCAAGAGTTGGATGTTTAACTGACGGAGCCACCCAGGTGCACCCACCAGCGGCTTTTTCTTAAAACATCTATTCCTTCATCTTACCACTCTCAATTCTACAAACCTTCTAGCCCAGATGGGAGCCCCATTATCTCCTCACTTTGGAACAGTCTCAAAAGCAGATCTTCAGTGTGTCCCCCTCCCACCTCTGATTAGGGTCCTCCCTCAATAAGATCATCTCCCCTCTGCTAGTATCCAGTGGCAATGCTTGATGTTAGTTACTACTATGACCCATTTCCAAAGCATTTCTATAGGGTTCCAGGAAATACAGGATTTATGCGGCTCCGGGCTAACCCGGCCCTTGTAATCCAGTATAGTCACCTACTTGAGAGAGCTCCTGGTTTCCACAAAGCAGCTGTTCGCTGTATACTGTGCCCTTATTCACTCCTCTGATCTGCCCACAACCCAAGGTGGATCTCAGTAGCATCCCCACCTTCCAGCTCCAAGATTCATTTCATCCAGCATTAGGAACAGACACCACACTTCTTAACGTAGCCCTCTCATCTCAGGGAGGGGATTCCATTCCAACTTTTTAATACCAGCCTTCTATATCTACCCCTCCACCAATGTATCCCCTTCTGCTTCAAAGCCGAATCTTCCCAACATGAGGATGGGGCAATTTGACCTTGATCGGTCCTTTCACTTGTCCTATTATTTCTCGAGATACAGTCCCCTGACCACCTACCTCGCATCCGCTGAAAGGGCCTATGAAAAATGAAGCTTCTCTAAATGCAGTGTGGAATCCTGGATTGGATCCTAGAACAGACAAAGAGCATTAGTGGAAAATCTGGTGAGATCCAAATGAAGTCTGGAGTTAACAGTAATGTGCCAGTGTTGGTTTCTTCATTTTGACAGCGCACTACGACGATGTGTTAGCGTTAGGGCCAAGTGGGAAAGGAGTATGTAAGAACTGGATTATCTTCGTAACTTTTCTGTAAACCTGAAATAATTCCAAAATAAAGTTTACTAAAAAGAGGGCTGGGAGGGGTCAGCAGCTTCTTGGGCCCTACTGAATTTCAATTCTTGGAGCTTAAGTCTATGAATGTACATTTTTTAATAGGAACCCCAAAAGATTCTATCAATTCCCTTTCCATTCCATGACTGACCAGTGGCTTCAGCCTTGCCTTACCTTACCCTGATCTAATCCTTTAGATCCTCTTAAACCTAAGGTAGGTACTATTATGCCACTTTCACAGATGAGAAAAGTGAATCCTCAGAGGTTAATATGTCCAGGATCACGTAGCCTGTAGATGGTGGAACTGGTCCTTGAATCCCTGGCCATCCAGCTGCCAAGCCTTTAGGCATAACCCTTCCACCGCCTCTCAATCCTGTTTTCATTAATGACCAATTAAAGACCTCTAGATCACTAAAAGAATAATTCCGGTAATAATTCTGGTAACACTCTGGACCCACCTGTTTCTCCAACCTGCTAAGTTTCTACAGTCCCTTTGGCTCCAGCTTATGGCTTTGCCTGACCCCCTTTCCCACCGCGGGAAAATAAGCAATGTGAAAGCCCCGGGAAGACATGCCAACCAGAGTCCTGTACACGAAAGGTACTGTTGCTCTTCCGTCAGGACCCAGCTCATTCAGAGTATTTTCGGTTCTGCTTCTCCCAACTGCCCCAGCTTCTATGGGAATCTGATAACCTTCTATAGCACTCACTCTGACATTAAATTACATACTCTCATATCATTATTCACCTCTTATCGGATTTGTCTTATCTCCCCCAAACAAAATTTTAAGCTCCTAATTACCCAGCTCCTCCTATATACGGATGCCCCTGAGTATTGCTGGAGACAAGAACAGGAGGCAGTGGTTCGCTGACTGGTAGCTAATCTGCATTTTGTCAAAGCAGCAGCCAGCAGAAAGTCCTCTGACAGTGGGATCTCAGGTTTACTGGGCATCTGTCCAATTATCAGGCACATGCCAACTCCAAATCAATTTCTATCCTCTTATCTGGGCTCCCTGACTTATATGTAGAGCTTAATACCAAGTTGGGGGTCTAACTGCTGAATGACTGTAAACAGTTTTGAGAGTCCCTGCCCCCCAACCGGAAACACAAAACAACAGTGTCACCTCTATTCAAAGAGGTTGAGTAGAGAGTACAGCTGGAGGGTTGATAAACTAGAACACAGTCTCGGGCAATGTCTCGGGTCTTACGTGTATTTCCCTTCATTTCCTCAAGTGAACCACGATTCAGTCACAGGATCGGCAGGAGAAACCTATGAAGTATATTCAAGTAAAATGTGTCCATTAGTTTTGCTTCTGGTGACTGGAATTTGCATGAATTTTTTATCAATGAAAACACTGCCGCTTTAAGCACATCTGAGAAATCAGATTATGAAATCAGAACCCACCTATCTCCTCAGGTACTCTTAGAAAGCAGTGTGTGTTTCCATAAAAGCATGAGGAGAAAAAGATGTGTACAGCATCTCTTTATTTTCTTTACCATTGCTTTAATGCACTTTAAAATTTATCTACATCAATTGGGAACAAAGAAACAAAAATAGACATTTCTTTGTTTTTCATAAATAACTACTCTCCATATTTGATAAAAATTTCAAACCATTATTTTACCTTCCCACAAATATAATACATACAAAATCTTTTCTGAAATAATAAGGTCGGCAAATTAAGTATCTTGAGACTAACATAACCACATACAACTGCTGTTCTAAGGACTTCCAGGAACCAAACAAGAAACAAAAACTCTTAATCAAGATGCCCTGGGTTACCTTTTGTTAATGTTATGGATTCAGAATTATAATCATCTGCCAATAATGATTTATAGATTCAAGTTGATTGTCTCCAAATAGAATACCGCTGGCTCTGACCTGTGAGTTCTGGATCTGACATGACAGCGAGGAGGCATGACAGGCACTGTGCGTCCATGAAAATCAGAAAAAGGACTGAATGTCCTGGACTCCAACTACTGACTTGGTATGTGCCTCATTTGGCTCAGTAATAAATTCACCTGCACCAAACCCGTATCGAAAGTCACTAAATCTCTCATATATATAATATATATTACGTATATACACACCCAAAACACACACATACTACACATACAGTTTCTAACAACCGGGAGTACTATTGTCTCAAAATGATGTACCGTGGACATGATCCCGCCTGAAATAAATCCTGGGAATTGTCACTGAGCTGCTAGAAGCTTTTAGAGTTCTGAGTCAGGTTACTTAGTGACTTCCATCCTGCCTACCCTTTGCCCCCGCTTTAATGTCTTGGTAGCTTTTTCCCCCTCAGAATCACCCTCCCCACAACTCCAGGCATATTTTCTTTCCAGGATCCCTTGATTGGACTTCGGAGGCAAGAAAAGGCACGCGGAGAGAGGGAGCAGGCGATTCGCAGCCACTGTCCCTCACACCTGCCTGGATTTGTGAGGTTCTCTGTCCTGTTTGCCACAGTGGGTGTTAGAAAGCAGTCACTCAAAGCTTTGTCCCTCCTACCCCCCTTGGTCTTTCTGTAGAGCACAAAAGTCAAAGAAGCCCCTTTAGCAGGGGGAGCAGTTCATTAAAATATACAACTACATTTCCTAGCTCTGGGGCTCCCATTCTGTACTTGAGAGTGCAGGTCACCCACACTGTTGTTAAGGTTCAGTGTGGGATCCATGGGCTTTCTGCTGGCAGCCAGTGCAGCCCTGACCCAGGAGGAAACAGCCTAATGAATATCAACTTGGAAACAGTGCTGCTGGCACATGATTTAAGCTTGTACATGCGCACAATTACACAACACACACACACACACGCGCACACACACATACACACACACAGGCCTGTCATTGCGAACAGTCATGTGGAAAGATGACAAAGGTTTGCAAAGATAAACCAATAAGGCACCAAGAAAAATTATTTTCAGCCAATTTAGACAACATCAAAATGTGAGGAGGGAAATACTGTAAGTTAAAGAGACTTCCTAAAGTCTGGCTAACCGATTCACTAAGAGGTCACATTAGTTCCTTTCGACAACCTTCTACATCTTCACCCCCAATCTATGACGTGATACGATGCTAAAAGCTGAACCGTGAAAGGGACCGCCTGGAAGCTGGGCATGCCATTCAACAGAACCATAAACCCTCTTCAACGGCACAAAGCTATCTGTGAAGAAGTTGCTAGACTTCTCTCCCTGCCCGCCAACACACAACCTTTCATTTCATTTGTTTTCATGAGTATGGATTGTTTGCATAATAAAAATACAAATTGGGGAAATAACGTGTGGGATATAAGCAGAAGGTGACCATAAATACATCTGACCTCTCTCCTCTGGGTAGGGATGGGGTGGTGGGCAGTAGTAAGACCTGAGGGAAGCAGGTGGGCTTTTATCCTTGAGGGAAGGGAGAGGGAGGGCAGGCGTGAGAACACAGACTGAAAACAAAGGGGCACCTCTAAAATCGGTTCTACAACTAGACCCCAAAAGACATTACCTACATCGCCTCTCCTTGGCTTTGTATCCTTTGTCAACACCCTTTTTCTGTTTGGTTTTGTTTAACTGGTCAGTCTCTTAGAGTTGGCATGTTGCCAAAATGAAAAAAAATTTTTTTAAAGAGGAATTAATCCACTTTCATCTATTTCATGCCACAACTTTTAGATATACTGTGCATCATTTCCAGATTCCCTCCACAAAGAAAAAGTAAGGGGGACAATGCAAATTAAGCACAATGACTGAAGGCAGCAGAAAAATCTATGTAATTTCGGGGAAGACACCCTAAATGAGGGAAGGGGTCAAGGTGATCACAAAAGGTCCTCATTTGAAAAACAGAAGAATTGGCCCTCAGACAGGGGATCTACTCCAAGGTTCCAAGCCATAGCTTCTGAATAAGGACAGGAATAAGACGTGCAAAGTTCTGTAGTTCTACGTACTAAATTTTGTTGAATCCACTGAAATTTTAACTTGTGCATTTTTATAAACACAAACAGCTTTTGAGCGTCTGCAAAACTACAATACCAGGCTTCTCCCTGCAGCAAAGGGTTTCAGTTCACTATGGAACTATGCAGGTCTTTCCTTAAAACCCATGAAGTGAAAACTGACCTGGATTTAAACCTTACTTTCCCAAATTCGGTATCCACGAAGCTCAAATGCCCAGACTCGTCATTTTCCTAGGGAGCCATTCTAAATTTTCCAATTGTTTTTGCTGTTTTAGCTTCCTAAATATAGTCCCCACTCAACCCTGGTCACTGGCATTTTGCAGGCCAATGCACTCTCGCCTCCTTCCCCAAGTCATGGCCTCAGACTCTTCAAGAAGGAACAGTTAAACAGATTAGAAAAGCAAACAGAATTCTTTAATAGGAAAGAAATGTGTGTGTGAGTGAGTGTGTGTGTGTGTTCATACATAGGCCTTCGTATATACGAATGGTTAAGAAGATTTAGGAAAACAAACAGAATTCTCTAACAGCAAAGCGCATGTGTATTTGCATGTGGGTTCATGCAAGTGTGTGCTCATCAATACACAGGTTTTCTCAGGGAAAAAAAAAGAGAGAGAGATTGAGAGAAACAAACTGATGTGGGGGAGAGAGGACAGCTTTCCTCCTGCAGCAGCAGGACCCTGATCCATCCTCTGTGTCATTTGTTTTGAGAGACTGCAGAAAGCCGTGTTTTGCTGCTTTGGGACTATCTGACTATTAAACTAGTCCAAAGTCCAGGGACACTCATTTTTCCCTCCTTGCTGCCAATGTTTGTTCACAGGTAGCCAGCCTCCCTCCCCCCAGTTCAAGCACCCCATTCAAGGGTGGGTGTGGTTTCTTAATCACAGCTCTCCAGGAGAGGAGGAATAAGAAAAGCTAAAAGACTGTTTAACATGATAAAGGAGGTGGGATGGGTGGAGCAGATAAGAGAAGTGTTGGAAATTTACTTAATTACTGGAGGTAGGTTTAGTCCTTAAATCTAAAAAAGCAGCCCCTTTAACAACTATCTCTAAGTATTTCCAGAAGAAGGGAGTGGGGGTTTACTTTGACCAAAATCAGAACACAGGTTCTTTAAAAAAAAAAAAAAAATTGGGATCACTGAAGCCTATGAAGAACCACCCACTCCTTCTCTGGCACAAAGCTGCCATTTTACCAGTCTAGAATTCAAGCTCAACCAATCACCATCCCTTAGGTTTTCAATTTTCCAAATATTTATACCAGCACTCTATAATGCTACCTCTAACTTATTCAAGACAACGCTGGGTGCTGTTAAGAATAAGAATGATTACAAGTACTACAGAAAAGAAACTGAAGCTCGATAAATAAACAAAATCGTCAAACACTCTCTAACCTTGTCACTTTGAGGGGGCCCTAACCACATTATGCTCCCCCTCCTTGGCATGAATTGGGGTTTCCCCTAAGTCAGGGACTATAAACAGAGACAAGCAGCTCACCTTAAAGCATCTTGGACACTTTAAGCAGTGAAAGGAGAAAACAAGCTGAGAAAGCACATCCAACAACTCCCCAGTCATAGCAACCTAAACTTTCACTGTTCACATTTTTTTTTAAAGACACAAGTATAGGAAATATATTTTCCCAATTAGACCACACAGTTCAAAGAAACCTGAACCAAGCGGAACTTCATTATAATGCCAACCTTAGGATTGTAAAGCCCCCAAAGCAAAGGTAAATTTTGTTGCCAAAATGCAACAAAGTTAAAAATTAAGAAAACTACATATAAATTAAAAACAGGGTTTCCCTTAAAAAAAAAAAAAAAAGGAGTAAGAAACGCAAAATGGTATACACGCGAGCTGAGCCCCTTTGAGAAGTCCTGGGACAGGTGCTCCTTGAAAGGGCCCTTTTCCCCTCTCCAAGTTGCCCCAGGAGGGGGCATCAGCACCATGAAGGTAAACGGAAGTGAACTTGGCAAAGCTACCAAACAAAACACCCCCTCCCCCCCTCAACTCCCGGCCCCTCAGGGCCTCGGCCTCCTACACGTGCGACAGGGACACCTGCTTGTGGTAGGCGGCGGCCGCGGCGGCGGCTGTGGGAGGGCCCGGCGGCCCGGTCCTGCCGGTGAGCGCGGCGCTCGCGTCATAGTCCCCGGCAGCGGTGGCGCCGCCGCTCTTGTGGCCCCGCCGCGGGCGGCAGCAGCACCGGCTCGTGAAGCGCCGCCACGACTCCACAGTCTTGCCGGACCAAATCCAGACGCCCGACGTGATGCCCACCACGAGGCACATGAAGTACTTGAGCATGAGCACCCAGTACTCCGGCTTGGCGCGCGGCTGGCCGGCGTCGGGGCCCGGGCACGCGCAGGTGAGCGCCGCCTCCCAGCTCTCGCGATAGTGCTGCTCGTACAGGTAGCAGGCCACCACGATGCTGGCCGGCACCGTGTAGAGCAGCGTGAAGATGCCGATGCGGATCATCAGCTTCTCCAGCTTGTCCGTCTTGGTGCCGCCCTGCTTGATGACGCTGCGGATGCGGAAGAGCGACACGAAGCCCGCCAGGAGGAAGAGGGTGCCCACCAGCAGATAGAGCACCAGCGGGCCCAGCACGAAGCCGCGGAGCGAGTTCAGGTTCTGGTTGCCCACGTAGCAGATGCCGGCCACCGGGTCCCCGTCCACCGAGCTCAGCGCCAGCGCCGTGATGGACTTGACGCTGGGGATGAGCCACGCGGCCAGGTGGAAGTACTGTGCGTAGCCGGCGATGGCCTCGTTGCCCCACTTCATGCCAGCTGCCAAGAACCAGGTGAGCGACAGGATGACCCACCAGATGGAGCTGGCCATCCCAAAGAAGTAGACCAGCAGGAAGACGACAGTGCACAGCGCAGGGCCTGTTGTCTCGTAGTGAATGTGACTATGCTCGCGGCTGCAGGCGACGCTGGCATGGCCCACCACCAGGCGCACCAGGAAGCCCAGCGACACGCACAAGTAGCAGGCAGACAGGAAGATGATGGGGCGCTCAGGGTAGCGGAAGCGTTCCATGTCTATTAGGAAGGTGGCCACCGTGGTGGAGGTGGAGATGAAGCACAGCACAGACCACAGGCCAATCCAGAAGGTGGCGAACGTGCGCTCGTCGGGGCTGAAGGAGGGCTGGTAGCAGGGCACCGCGCAGTTGGGCACCTGGCCCGTGCGCACCTTGTTGTAGAGTGGGTGCGACTCCTTCAGAATGGGCACGAAGGGCTCGCGGCACTTGCACACCGACGGGCCCCCGGCGGCGCACTCGCCCCCCGAGGCCGGGGCCCCTGCTGGGCCTGGGAGGGTGGGTTTGGCCGGGAAGGGCCTGGGGGGCACCGTGGTGGCCTCGCTGCGGTTGTAATCCATGCACAGGACCTCGGCGTCGCGGCCCAGCACCGGGAGGCGGTCGCAGCTCATGCGCTCCGGCCAGGCGAAGCCGTACTGCCGCATGAGCGGCGAGCAGCCGGCCTTGGCGCGCTCGCACACCGAGCGGCAGGGCGGCAGCGGCTTGTGGTAGTCCGGCAGGCAGATGGGCGTGTACATGGAGCACAGGAAGAAGCGCAGGTCCGGCGAGCAGTGGATCTCCACCAGCGGCCAGAACTGGTGCACCTCCAGGCCAGCCTCGTCCTGCGTGTCGTGGTTGAACTGGTTGGGCATGTGCGTCAGGTTGTAGCCGATGCCTCGGCACATGGGCACTGTGATTTCCTGGCACACGGGGGCCTTGGAGGCAGCCGCCGCCCGGCCCGCCAGCTGCGCCAGGAGCAGCAGCAGCAACGAGGGCGGAGCGGCCGGGTCAGGCCGAGCCATAGCCCCCTCCCTACCCTCGCCTCGCCTGCCGCAGCCCGCGCGGGGCCCACGCAGCCAGGGGAAACCCGGCCGGCCTTTCCGCCGACTTGTGTGTGGCGCCGGGGCTGGCAACCTGTTGGTTTCTTTTTCTCTTAAATCCGTCCAAAGAAAAAACGTTTCGGGAAGGCGCTGCCTCCGCAGGCAGCGCTCAGCTCTTCTCCAGATAGGGTGGGGAGGGACGGTTAGGGCTCCGATTCCAGGGAAAGTACTCTTTAAAAAAGAAGCTGGGGGGAGAAGAAAAATTGCAACCACTCCCAATTAGAGGCGAGTCAACGGCACAGTCCCCGCAAGCGCTCTCCAAATCTCTAAGTTAACGTCTCTCCGTTCCTTCCCCTCCACCTCCGGGAACCAAACTACTGACTCCCAGCCCATCCCTAGCCCCCCACCTCCCTCCACGCTGGGCCCTCCGGGCTGTACCCCGGGGTCAGAAAGCTCAGCCGCCTGGAAAAGGGCGGAGGAACGGGGGAAAGAACGGGGAGAAAAGGGAAGGCGCGGGCTCTCACCTTCGCGGATCCCGAAAGAAGCAGATAGTCGGCCCCCAGCCTGGGTTCTCCAACCCCGGGACACTCGCTCAGAAATGCGACTCAGAGACGGGCTGGCACCCGGAAAGTTTGGCGATAGGCTGGGTAATCCGAGACGCGGCACATGGCAGCAGGTGGGGGCGTCTCAGACAGGGGGTCGCACCCTGAACGTGGTCGCCGCAGGCTGGTCACTCGCCCTCTCCTCCTCCGGGGCCCCCCGCATGATCCGAGCGGAGCAGAGCAGGAGCAGGCCGTGCGTTCCACGGGGGGGGCTGGAGCCGGACGAAGGGCGAGCGCGCCTGGCAGCACCTGGGCGAGAAGAAGGCGGTGTGCGGCCCCCAGGGGATCCCGCTGCCTCAGTGCACCGCGAGCAGCCGGCGCTGGCCCCGCCGGCACTGCATGGTGCTCGCCCTATGCCGCGTCCAGCCCGCTGCTCGCCTCCTCCCCTGCAGGGGGCTCCGCGCTCCAGCGGACGCCTGGGGGCGGTGGCGGCGCTCCCGGGACGCGCCCGGCTCGGCTCCTCCCCGCGCTCTCTCACTCTTTCGCCCACCTCCGGCGGGTACAGAACGGCGCGCGGCGGCGACAGCACCGCGGACACCGACGCGAGCTGACCGGCCTGTCCCGCCCCGCCCGGGTCACCTGCCTCTAAAGCCCGCCGGGAGGCTCCGCCCCTTCCCCGCCCCCTCGCGCCGGGGCTCGGTTGGTGGGCCGCCCCGCCACGTTCTCCGCGCGTCCCCGCCCATTGCCCCGCGGGCTCGGCCTCTCCCCCTGCGCCCTCCGGCCCCGCCCGGAGCCGGCTCGCGGCAAGCGCGGGCCAATAGCGGACGGGAAAGCGATGGGGGGCGGGGAGAATGCTAATCGCTCCTTCTTGAGACCCCAGGCGGGAAACCTTTGCTGGAAGTCCCTACCGACTTCTCCGCGGTGGCCCACGGGTGTGGGGCTCGCCGTCCTGTCATAGACTAGCTCATGAGCCCTCGCTTCCAGGGCCCCACCAGCTCTCTCTGCAGCTAACAATCCTTAGCTTTCAGCGCTCGTTTAAAAGAACTGCTCGAAGAATCATTCTTAGCCGTGGCACCTGCCTCCGCTCTGCGCTGTCCTGGTACCAGGTGAGCTCACGCTGCGAAGAGCGAAGGCTTCTTGAGCCACTACCGTATGTCAGCGCGTTAATCGTTCGTATGTCAGATCTTCACAGTTCTGTGACACAGGTACTCCCTACAGGTGAAGGAGCGAAGGTTTTAAAACTTGACCGAGGCAACCGAGCTAGTACTTTCCCAAGAAAGCCGCAACAGAGGCAATCTTCAGCCCGGTACTCCGAGCTCCTGGCACACAGTAGGCGCTCAAACGGCAACTCGGTATTCGAACCCATGCAGCTACATCCCAGTGTTAACACCCACCCACCCCAGCCATGCACTCTCCGTATCCCCCGGTCTTCAACCTTTACTTTAGCATGTCGTCACAAAATCTTACTGCGGTAAGAATGTGATTTTCTTCCAGTCTTAGGAAGACTCGAGAGATGGTAGCCCTTTATCAGTCGAAGTTTAAAATCCCAGCCAGTCCCGAAGTCGCCTGCAGGGAGAAGCGGCCCTGGCTCGCGGCTGGGTAATGGATGGACGCCTGCCCCCCCCCCCCCCCCTCGGGGACTGCCTGCTGTTGAGCCGAGCTCCCGCGAGCCTCTGGGGAGGCCAGGTCGCAGGGAGCAGCCCCGGCCGGCGAGAAGACCCGCTGGGTGCCCCCGCTGCTGGAACACACAGTGGCGCTCTCCAAATAGGTTATTATGCTGCAAGTTTTAAATGTCCTAAAAATGCCTCTTTTCTACGTGTTCTAATTAGGTTGGAAGACTGAGGTGTTTAGCATTCTTGAAATTCATTCACACACTTACAAAGAGGGTTTGAATTGTTTCCCGCTCCCCCACCCCTTCCTTCCCCTGGGAAGAAGGCGGAAAAAAAGCGGGAGGGCCTGGGTACTTCAGGGAGTCAGGACTGGGCTAAGCAGCCGAGATAGATAGACCACAGTCATTGTCGGTCTCCTGTCCTGGATCCTGTTTGTACAGTCTGGGAGACTGAATTGCAGAATAGCCCTCTCCTCTTGCTCATCAGCAAGGCTTTGTGGACAATAATGAAGAATATGTGCATTAATCTCAGACTCAAAGTTTAAAATGAATAAATACAATTGTTTCACAAGCATCAAAACTATGAATAAATATGTTTACAATGCACCTTACATCTTTCAGTCCCTGAAATTCTACAGGTGTTCATATTTAACCTCTTTTGTGTTTTGGAAACAATTGGCACTCTGGGTCAGCAAACATCCCAGGGTTGAAAGTAGTGGGAGTTGAAAAGCTATGGAATAGCAATCAAAAAGAAAGGGAAACCCTTAGTGGAAAGTATGTGCAGACTGTGAACATGCCAAGCAAGTGCTGTCTCATTCTGTGCCCTTTATGCAACGTGTGTATTATTGGGGATGGACAAGTGGTGGCTAATAATAAAATTATTTGAAGTTGGAGAATGTTAATCACTCAGGCTGGAATTTGGCCAGAATACTTGTGTTATTTCATTTGGTTCTGATTCAAACAGTGTTATCCACTGGTCTGTAAACCTCTCTCCTCTTAATCAAGAGCAAAATGTTATTTTTGCTTGGAGGTCTCTAATAATAGTAGTAATAACAGCAGAAGACTTTCCCAAAAGAGACTTATTTTGTATTATGTAGTTTCTTGGTATCATTTAAATTTTTGCCTTTTTACATATATTACTTCAATTTAAAAGCAGTTTAAAACATGCTGATTGTTTCACATGTGTTAGACAGGCTGCTAAGTAATTCATTTGCATTACCTCATTGAACCCCCTCACAACAGTCAGAGGGAACCCGGAACCATAACAACTTGCTTGAGGTTGCCTATCTAGCCCATTGAAAGGATAGAAATCAAAATGTTCTCCTGAGTCATAATTTATTATTCAACAAGCTGGAAAAGACTACATGATCTTTTAAAGGTGCAGTTTGTTAGCACCTAGAACGTTGCCAAGCATTCTCTTCTATTCATTGACCCATCTGTCCTTTCATCTAGCCATTCATCTATCCATCCATCCATTCATCCAACCATCCATCCAAGAAGCCAAATTTCTGAGTTGAAGACACAGCTGCCATGTTAAAGAGGTTTCTACAAAGCCAAATTCATGAAATTCAATTTAAATTACTGTTTGAGTTATGTTTATTAACTGATGAAAATACAGAGGACATTGCTAAACATTCCACCAAAGAAGTGTGTAATGTTCCCAAAGTTTCGAGGTACTGGCTTTGGATTTGGTTATCAGGGAATAGTTGGAGCATTTTTAATATTACTAGGTTTGTGTTCCTTCTATGCGTATTATTCGGTTGAGACACTTGAGAGTTCAATGCTTTAGGAAAGATAGGTAGACTTTGTGTACTCTTCAGTGTCTTTGCAATCAAGCCTGGAGCAGTATGCTGCACATAGAGCCCTCAATAAATAATTATGAAATAAACTGGGGCGCCTGGGTGGCTCAGTGGCTTAAAGCCTCTGCCTTCAGCTCAGGTCATGGTTCTCAGAGTCCTGGGATCGAGCCCCACATCAGGCTCTCTCTCAGCGGGGAGCCTGCTTCCCCCCGCCCCCACGTGCCTCTCTGCCTACTTGTGATCTCTGTCTGTCAAATAAATAAATAAAATCTTTTTTAAAAATTTATGAAATAAACGGATGAGTGACAACATGCGTGAGATTAACTTTCTAAACTTTAGTAACTGGCATTGAATCCCTATGACCTCTGTCTGTGAGGTTGACCATAACCTGTTAAACACAGCATGAGTCCAAACCTTGTCTCTGCCTTTACTAGTCGAACCACCTAACAGCTCCAAGTGCTCTTTCCTTCCCTGTAAAATGAGATACAAATAGAGTTGTAGTGAGGGGTGAGTGAATTGATACGGTAGAGTGATTAGAACCTCGTCTAGTACCTGGTAACTATGTAATAGGTCTTAGCCATTATTATTAGTTTCTACTGTGGTTCATTCTACTTTTCTATTTTCCCAATCTTCTATATTTTCTTGTGTATATTAGTTTAATATTGGGGGAAAAGTTACACTTTTTAGATGTATTTTCTGTATGAGCACACTCTCAGCTGTTACCAGCTATCTCCGGTACTTAGACATGAGCTAAATTTTTGCCAAAGCAGGGATCATTTCACTTGCCCTGAATCCAAGCGCAACCAGCCGATGAGTGTGCAAACGTGCACGGGGCTGGCCCAGGAGAGACCCCGCCAGCCGACATGAATCCCACACAGGTGTTTCCAGACTAGCTCCTTACCCATCCTAGCACATTTCTGATCACTTCTCTTAGCAGATCAGACACTTCTAGATGAGAAACCACGTTATTGACCAGAAGATTAACAGGATGAGTCCTTTCTCCATGTGCATAATGAGAGTGTCTTGTTCACATTATAAGTGGAATAA